CGCCGCCACCGCCACCGCCACCGCCGCCGCCGCCAAGAGGAGGCCGGCGCAGCGCTGCTGACACCGACACAAGGCTCAGGCGTCCGACGGCCTTGGCCTGCCCACCCCGCGCAAGGAACAGCGCGCGAAAGGACAGCGGGCTGCTGGACCCTGAGCGCAGCGCAGGCCAAGCTGCAGTGGCCCCCTGGGCGCACGACCACCCACTGTCTGGGAACACCCCACACACACACACAAACAACGGCGCACGCCCTACCCCCTGGACGCCCTTCACACAGGGGTGAACATCGCTCAAAAGCACACACACACTCTCCCAGCCCGCCTATACAACATGGCAGATTCACTGTCAGGCCCAGTGAGATCTAGGAACCAGGGTAGCATATTCACAGGACACCCCTGTGCACATGCACCCACACCCCAGCCCCTAGAATGTGCAGGGACCTCCACCAGGTCTGCGGACAAGAAAGGCCCCAGAACTATTGAACAGGCATACATCAATGACCACCTGTGCAGATGAACAGGCAGCTTGGCATTTTGTCTGCACCAGGGGAAATATCCACATCTGCATACTTGTGCATAAATGCAGTGGTCTTAGTTTGGCTGTTCTAGGACAGCACCAACAAAACACCAGGTGGAAGCACACATAAGAAACACATTCCATGGGCCAGGGATTTAGCTCAGTGGTTCCAGTGCCTGCCTTGCAAGTGCAAAGTCCCGAGTTCAATCCCCGGTACCAAAAAAAAAACAACAAAGAAACACATTCCTGAAACTCCTCCCTGGTGTTGGAAAATACTCAGGAGACTGAGGAGCCAGTCCTCAGAGTTCCTCTCCCTAAACCTTTGTGAAACAATGCAAGACATAAATTTAAAGCCAAAGACGTCTCATCACAGAGCTAGTCACAAACGGAAAAGAAAAAATAAATTGGACAAACTTTGGAGTCATGGAGACAAAATCATAGGGCCAGGGATTTAGCTCAGTGGTTCCGTCACCTGCCTCGAAAGCTCAAGGTCCTGAGTTCGATCCCCAGTACCAAAAAAACAAAAAACAAAAAAAAAAATCATAAAACAAGCAGAATAGGAAGAATTGAAAAAAATACCCCCCCACAAGGTTCCAGGAAAGAACCCCATCTCTACTCCAGCCAGGTCTCAATGGCTGGAGCTTTGAGGGGTTCAGGCCCCCTGAACCAAGAGGAGAGGAGGAAGTCCGAGGGAAGATGGTGAGTATAGGACCAAGGGGAATAGCAAGTACAACACTCTGCTCCTTTCCAGAAGGAAAGCTGGTCGTTGCGTCTCTTCTTTCCCTGAAATTTCCCAGTGATCCCAGAGACACTCACAAATGGTGTACATAGATATCCCTTGAGCCTGTGACATCACACTGATACACAGCACGTGAAGCTTCCTGCACTTCCTCAAACCAACAGAATATCCCTGAATCTTTTTCTTTTTTCTTCCCAGGAACAAACTATCTAGAGAAACAGGATGCTCCATTCACTCCCTGCTTCCTGCTTTAGATACACAAGGCTCACACTTCATTCATCCTTCAGCCACTTTCTATCTCCAATGAGTTCTACTGTCCCACAGGATCCTGGACAGCCTAATATTCGCCTTGCCCCAGGTCCTCTGGGCTGTGGCTGCCCTCACGCCCAAGCTCCTTTTCTCCCTAACAGGCTGGCAGTCACCCCTACTTCAATCTACCTGACTTCACCCAGCCGTTGACGCCTTCCACTCCACCTAGCCTCTCCTCGAACCAGCGCTGCCAGCCCTCTGATGCTGCCAAAGGCCTGCTGGTGGCTCTGCTGGGTGGAGGCCTGCCAGCTGGCTTCATAGGCCCCTTCTCCCGTATGGCTTATCAGGCTTCCCACTTGCCCTCACTGGAGCTGCTCATGTGTCGATGCCTCTTGCATTTCCCCATTGCTCTGCTACTTAAACTGCGTGGTGACCCATTGCTTGGACCTCCTGATGTCCGAGGCCATGCCTGCCTTCATGCCCTGCTTAACGTTCTTAGCATTGGATGTGCCTACAGTGCAGTTCAGTTGGTGTCCACTGGCAATGCTGCTACCATTCGAAAAGGTTCTTCCACCGTGTGCTCTGCCTTCCTTGCCTTCTGCCTCAAAAGCCAGGGTCTCAGTGGCTATGACTGGTGTGGCCTGTCGGGTAGCACCCTGGGACTGATCATCATTTTGGGACCTGGACTAGGGACAATGCAAGAGGGCACCACACGCTTCTACACAGCTCTGGGCTATGTGTTAGCCTTCCTGGGAGGCCTGGCCTTATCACTAGAACTACTGGTCTACCGCTCCCTGCACTTTCCCTCCTCCCTACAAACAGTGCCTTTCTATTTGGTGTGGTGGGGTTAATGGTCTCTGTACCTGGCCTCTTTGTGTTGGAAACCCCTGTGCTACCCAGGGACCCTCTGAGTTGGAGCTGTGTAGGAGCAGTGGGCACCCTTGCCTTAGTCTCCTTTGTGTGTGTGAGCTATGCGGTCACCAAGGCCCACCCTGCCCTGGTCTGTGCTGTCCTTCACTCTGAGGTAGTAGTGCCCTGATGCTGCAATATTATGTGCTCTATGAGACTGTGGCACCTTCTGACATCATGGGGGCAGGGGTTGTGTTGGGCAGCATTGCCATCATCACTGCCCAGAACCTCAGTTGTGAGAAAGAAGGGCAGGTGGAGGAGTGAGATGTAACTTGAGAGTCTGGGGTTGGGGGTTGGGAGTTGGAGGGTGGGAAGGGGTAAAGAGGGGAGACTGTAATACAAACATGGGAGAAGCAGTGCCTGGAAAAGAACTGGTGTGAGAGAGAGACACCCCTTGCACTCAAGGGTGACTGATCCGGGTGTTGGTGGAGTGGGACAACTGGACGAACTGGAACAAGGCTGGGGGCTAAGGCATATGGACTAAGCTAGGTCCTGGGAATCAGGGCATAACCAAGGGGTAAGGTCTCACACCCAAGAGGCTGAGGTAGGCAGACCTTGGGCCACGGAGAGGATTTCCTTTTTCAACAGAGAAAAGCCTTGGTGCTATAGTGTGCCGGCAGTGGGCAGCGTTTGGCAAACAGCCAAGCAGCTGCACTGGGGGAGAGGAGTTTGCCTTTTTCTCCTAGGCGGAGGTTTCCTTTCCTCCTGGTTGTGCCCCCACTTGTTGGGGTGGTGACGTGACACTGACATCAAACAAGAAACACTTTGAATGTGGCTGTGCAGTTGGTGTCGTATCTGCTTTGGAGAGCTGAAATTCAAAGCGCTGTTCTCATTGGAAAATTCCGGGGGGGGGCATCTTCTGAAATATTCTACAAGGAGGAGGATTTCCTAATGTTTAGATTTCTTGACCCCCAAATTCCCCAGGACTTTCCTGTCCCGCCCTACGGCTAGTCTGCTTTTCCCGGAGGGTCGGGATCCCGTGATCGCTTCTCGGACAGTAGCCAGTCTCTTTTCGAAGCAGGCCTCTGAGCTGAAGCTTCTTCGAGTGGCTCAGGTTGAAGATCCAGGACTAAGGTTCGGTACAGCAAGTCACTAGAGGCCAGGAGCTGCCCACCCATTCCTGGAGGCCAAATATCGGCTGCTTCCGGACAAACAATCAGACTCGCCATCTTGATTTGCTCATGCATATTCAACAAGAGAGTGCATATTCATGACCAAGGGCGCCCTCCCCAGCGCCCCACCCCCACACCACTTGCGAGGCCCCGCCCGGCCCCGCCCCCATTACTGATTCGCAGAACAGACCATTTTCCACTTGGGGGGGAATATTAGTGAGAGGCTGTTGCTGAAGAAGAAGCCGTACTCTAATGCAGAATAAAAACGGCCTAATTTTATCCTCGATCCTTTAAACCTTCAGCTTCAGTGCAAGAGTGACCAGCGAAAAGAGACGGCAAATTTAGAAAAATTTCCCTTTCTCTGTCTTTCTTTTTTTGGTACCGGGGATCAAACTCGTGTCCTTCCGCTTGCTGAGGCAGGCGGCGGAACCACTGAGCTAAATCTCCAGCCCTCTCTCTCATTTCTGAAAGGTCGCCCAAAGAGGTAGCAGGGGGAGGGATGATCAACGATTCCAGCGCGTGCCCCGTGCGGGCTTACGCAGGCGACCCCGTAGCGCAAGGGAGGGCGGGAAAGGAAGGGGCGGGGATGCAGGGGGGCGAATCTATAAAGGGCGTCGTTCGGCCAGTTCGCTTCTCAGAAGCGCCCAGAGCGCGACCGGGACGGTTGGAGAAGAAGGCGGCTCCCGGAAGGGGGAGAGACAAAGTGCCGTAACTTCCGCCGTTCAGGAACCCGGTTACTTATTTATTCGTTACCCCTTTTCTTCTCCCTTCCCTGAAACCTTTTCCTTCCTACCCCTCTTTTTGTTTTGTTTTTTTGGGGGCCGAAAAAAAATCTCTAGAAGAGGAGTGAGGCTCCTTTCGCTCCTTTTCGTTTCCCCGCCTCCTTCCCTCCCCCACCTTTCCCTCCTCTGGCTTTTCCCTCCCAACCGGGGAAGGTCTTTCCCGGTGGCCGCCCGGACTGGGTCTGAGCGCCTAGGCGGAGGCGGCGCAGGCTTTTTGTAGAGAGGTTTGCGCCTGCGCAGCTCATCAGCCTCCAACATGCATGGGGGTGGCCCCCCTTCCGGGGACAGCGCATGCCCGCTGCGCACAATCAAGAGAGTACAGTTCGGGATCCTGAGTCCGGATGAACTGGTAAGCTGCTCCGCCCTGTTTCTACTCCTTCCTCCCTCCCTCCCTCCTGCGCGGGCGCCCCCCCCCCGCCCCGCCCCGCCCCGAGGGTGGCTGCGGAAACTTGGAGCTTTTCTCTGCCTACCGGAGACTAGCAGAGAGGATGCCATACCAGCACCGAGGCCCTGTGGAGGTCCAGCCTCGGGGCTCCCGGAGTTAAATTCTGCAAGTTTAAGTTTAGCACTGTGTTCAGGACGGGGGCCGGGCTGAGGAGAGAAGGGCGTCCGGTTCCAAACTTTACATTCAACAAGACAAGACGAATTCTGAGGGATCTTTTGCAAGTCTGAATAGGAAGCCGGACACCCAGGTTTTTCCCTCCCCCTTCTTCAGGTGTTGAGGACCTATGTGACACAACAGAACGTGGGGATACAAAGCTGAACAAGATGGACAGTTTCCCACCTTCTAGAGCGCTTTCTGTGGGAAGGGAAAGAGAAGACTATGAATATATGAATAAGTAAAGATAATTCAGTGAAGTGGGGTAGTGCTATGGAAAGTTACTGAGGTGAGGCTAGTTTAGATGGGAGGTTATCAGGGTCTGGGAATGCCTATTTGAGGCGTTCTCATCCTTAGGGTAACGATGAGAAGCAGCCAGTCAGTCATCTAGGACATAGATTCTGGAGCATGTATTTTCAGGCTGAGCAAGCAAGCAGCAAGGGCTCGGAATCACGGAGAAAACAATTTGGTATGTTCTTAGAAGCAGAAAGGCCAACGTGGCTGGGGATTAGTAGGTGAGGAGGGAGGTATTACAGAAATAGGCTGGAGAAGCATGGGATATTTGAAATCACGGTAAGGAGTCAGAATTTAATTCTTTCCTCAGAAGCCATTGAACAATTGGAAGAGTGACATCAATTTACATTAAAAACACGTATGCACCTTTTTCTTCCTATTTCACATTACCTATTATACATTTCGTCCTTATTTACATTTTCAGTTAGTGGGAGGGCTAGGGGAAAGGATAGAACGGAATGGGATTAATACGAGAAAATGGAAAAATAAGAACAAAATCTTTGTAAATAGGGAGGACTGGAGGGGTTGAAGGGAGGGCTGGGCAAGGGTGAAAAATAAGAACTAAAAGGTATAACAGGTAATGTGAAATAGGAAGAAAAGGGGCAAAGGGGAAGGAAGTGGGAGGGCTA